TTAGTCTGCTCTATTTTATTTCTTATTTTCTTATTAACCCCTATCTGGGCCCAGTGTTGACTACGCTTGCATGGAGCAGCATGTGTTAGGGCTCATAATATACACACTGCGTTGTGTACACACTCTGTTACTGCATGTGTTGCATTATCACTTTCCATAAGTATGCGTTAACACTGCGTATGCAGTGACGCAGCGCATGCAGTAGCACAACGTGTATAGTTATTGTTGATACCATAGTGTTTTTGTTGACCCTCTTTTCCACTTACAGAGCTAGTTTACTGTTTTTCTTTGAAATAGTCAAAACCATTTAACCTACTGATGCCTCAATTTATGTAATTTTATTGGTATCTATTTTTATTTTGAAATTTACCAGTAGCTGCTTCCTTTCCCACCCTAGGCTTATACTCCAGTCAGTAAGTTTTCTCAGTTTATTTGTGGTAAAATTAGGTGCCCTGGGCTTATATTCAGGTTGGCTGATATTCAAATATATACGGTAAATATAAAGGACTATCATCTAAGCTGTGTATGATGTGTCCTTAAATTGCATTTGATTTGAATGTTTTTCTGATGGCAAAATTGGAGACTTCTGAAGAGTGAAAAGAGTCTGCAATTGATGGCCTAAGGGTCTGGTTATTTAAAAGGAGCCAGCAGTATTGTCAATGGGAGAATTCCAACTATGGAAAACGGGACCCTAATTTGTGTCTTGATTTTTCTTCTTTGTCTCTGTGAATTGTCTGCTATTTAGTTGTTTGAAAAGATACCAGATCACCTTGTGAGACAAAAAGACCAGCTATTTGTCATCTGTGTATTTTTTGTTCATGTTTAAAGATCCTAATGAAATCCATTTTAAACAATACGATCACCTGGCTGAACAGCAAGGGAGACAGAAATATCAGATGGTGATTATGGTTAAGATTGGCAACTTAATCAACTCCACTGACTTTGGGGAAAAAAAACTCTATTTTCACAGATAGTTTTTCTGGATAGAAAAGACTTTTTAAATTAAAAGAATATCAGCCTTTGTACCAAGTAATTCCTTGAAAATTGAGCATGCACAAAATGCAGTGCAATTTGTAGTTTGGGTATCAACAAAAAGAAACCCTAGATGTAGTGATTAATTCTATAGGACAAGTCTCTGATGGGGAAGGCGAGAATATAAGTTTACAAATAAAACACAGAAAACCAAACCCATTGCTATTTAGTCAAGTCTAACTCAGAGCAACCCTGTAGCACTGAGTAGAACTGCCCTGTAGGGTTTCCAAAGCTGAAATCTTTGTGGAAACACACTGCCTCATATTTCTCCTGTGGAGTGGCTGTTGAGTTCGAACCTCAGTTTTCATTTAGTAGCTTAGTGCTTCACTGTTGTGCCACCCTTTTTAAGAGTTAAGAATGAGATAAGTGATACATGGGAAGGTGTCTAGGGAGAGTTCAAAGGAGTTAAAAAACTACAGTGGCCTAAAACTCTGAGAGCTGACTTTTAGGGGTGGGAGTGGGGTAAGGACTTTGAGGGACGGTTGATATTAGGATAGATAAATTCCCAACCTAATCTTCACTTTTCAATTTCTTAGTACTGTTGGTACTGTTTTGCCATCGTTTGCTATAATTCTTATGTAGTTATAACCTACGCTCTGTAAGAATGGTAGAATGTTTTAGACTGAAATCTTTTAAACACATGTGTACTCTTGCAGTAAGTATGGAAGGGAAAAAAAAGCCGTAAGAGTTCCGTTTTCCACATGAGGAAATTGAGACTATATTGGGCTAATTGACTTTCCTGTGTTCACAAAGCAAATAGTCGTAAGCTCATATGTTTTTAAAATAGTTTTATTGGCACAGACTTCACATATCATACAATTTAATCATTCAGTCATATTAAGAAGAGTTGTGCAATCATCACCACAATCAATTTCAGAACATTTTTTCCTCTTACTTGTTGTTAGTACTCCATTTCCCCCCAAACCTCCCCTGCTGTGACCCTAGGTAATTAATTAAACAATTTATTTTTTTATTGTCTCTAGTACCACAACTTCTACTTGTCTAATTCAGTGTTGCTGATTAGATTCTTCATGCTGTACAGCCACTATTGATACCCTTTTCCATCTTATTCTACCACCATTGACATAAACTCAGTGCCCCTACGCAACAACCCTTTCCCCTCCACCTATGGTAACCGTTGGCCAAGTTTGGTTTATTTTTATTTTCGTGATTTTCTTGATATACTATTCACATATCACATACTGCCATGGTTAAATTACTTTGAAAATCATTCTGTAATCACAATTCTAGTGCTCCTTTCCCCCTCCCACATTCATTGCTTGGCCCCAAATCCCTCTCAACCCCCATATCTCCCACCCCCATCCCTATATACCCTACAAACCTTTGTATCATTTATTTTCTGGACACATCTACTCCTTCTGTGGTTTCACAAACTAGGAAACCCAACAGAAACAGTAAATAAGAAAAACAAAATAAAGTGGTAAGGATAAAATAATAATGATATAAAGATAAAAATACAAATAATGAGTAAGAAAGAAAAGACCACCATCAATATTTTAAAAACCAGCGGAGATATTTCTGTCCTGGATCAAGGAAGAAGTACTTACACCTAGAACAATTTCCGGTTCGGTCAAGAGGGAGGTCAGCTGACCAAGTATCAGGTTCGATCTAGCATACTCAAGATGACAGTGCTCCCTGTCTGATAGTAAAGCTGTTGGAGACCCCTGCCTGTGGCCAGAGACGTCATCTGACTAGATACTCTGCGGATGGGTCTTGGGCTCCCACTGTCCTCCATGGTCTTCTACAAACTGTGTGTTCACAACCTGAGCTCTGATACTTTCGTCATATTTATATCTTGTTATTGTCGTCTTTGCGTCACACAAGCTGGTGTGCTTCCTCTGTGTGGACTTACTTGACTCCTCACTCAGATGGCTGCTTGTTTGAATGCAAACCTTTAAGACTCCAGACGCTATTCTGAAGGGTAGCTGGGCACCATCTGCTTTCTTCATACTTTGCTGTAGTGCCCATACTTCAGTGATCATTTCATCACATCTTTTTTTTTATACAACCAAACCTCAACTAAAGCCACTGCCATTGAGTTGATTCCTAACCTTAGCAACCCTATAGGAGAGATTAGACCTGTTCCTTAAGATGTCTGAGATTGTAAATCTTTACAGGAGAGCAGACAGCTTCATCCTTCTCCCATGGAATGACTGGTGGGTTTAAAATTCCTGGTCTTGCTATTAGCAGTCCAAGATTTAATACCATACATAGTGTCTGTAACAAGCAATGTCACTCTTCAAAAGCAATACAGGTCTCGTATGACCCAGTAAGTTTATTAGTATGTTCTCTTTCGTGCAAAAGTATTTAATATTTGCAGTGATCACAAACCTAGGATTTCAAAGAATAGAAAATTAATAAATTACAAAAACAGATCAATTGCAATCATGGACCCCTGTATACATTGGGACCAATCCATTGGGACATTTATAATTATATCATAAATATTTGTTGTAGGCAGTAGTGATAGACCTTTGCTTTGGGATTTTGAGTGTGTATGTTGTAATTCAAAATTGGAATATAATATGAAAAATATCAAAAGTATAATATACTATGCTTATCAATAGAATTGTTTTAATTCAGTCATTTATGCATTTGTTCATTCTTTCATCCATCCATCCATCCATCCAAGACCATTTATTACCTTACCATTTGTTATAGAATATATAGAGACTAAAATGTTTTTCCTAGTGGAGGAATTAATTATATAGTAGCCGAGAAAAAGATATCCAAACTCACAAGCAATTAGTTCTAATGGACTATGGTGTTTCTTTAATATAGTCCTTTATTAAAATGGAATTTGAGATTATAGAAGAGGGAATAATTAATTATGTTTGGCAGCTTCGTATGAATTGGACTCTGAAGGATGGAATAAGATTTTTGTGTATGTGGCCAAGAATGTTATATAGAAAAAAACTTTTAAAAAATCATTTTATTGGGGGCTCGTACAACTCTTATCACAATCCATGCATCCATCCATTGTGTGTCATGCACATTTTTACATATGTTGGCCTCATCATTCTCAAAACATTTGCTTTCTACTTAAGCCCTTGGTATCCGCTCCTCATTTTTCTCCTCCCTCCCCACTCTCCCCTCCTCATGAACCCTTGATAATTTATAAATTATTATTATTTTGGAGAAGAAACACTTTGAAGAAAGACTTGGCTGTTGAGTTGTATCCAGGCCAAGAACTTTAATGCCACAGTTTGACCAAAGAAATTGCACCTACAATTTTACATTTTGCTTTTTTTCCTCCAAAAACATTTCTTAAAAGAGCCAACGGCAAGAATGACTGATTTTGCTTAGGAGGACTTTCGTGGGGAACCCCAATACCATGGGAGACCTGAAACCAATGCACAACTGAACAACCGAAGAGTTGGAAAGGACAAAGGGCCTTGTAATCCAAGGTTCCCCGAATTTAAATTTCATTGGCGAGTTCAACTTGGAAACAATTTAGGAAGTGGCACAGACTGGCCAAGACAGAACATTAAAAACAAATGACCTACTGAACAAATCTGTTATCGTTTGATAGAGGAAAGCATACTGCAAAGCAATAAATAATAAACAAGGCATAATCTCACATTAAGTTATAGTTTTATTTGAGCAAACATAGACCAAGCCCAATGTATCAGCATTATTCTTCGTGTGATTAGCTTTGGGCTGCTAATCACAAGGTCAGCAGTTTAAAACCACCAGCACTCCATGGGAGAAAGATGGACTTTCTGCTCCTATAAAGATGTACAGTCTCAGAAACCCACAGGAGGCGCTCTAGCTCATCCTACCGGTCTGCTCTGAGTTGGCATTGGCCTGAGGGCCGTGCATTTGGTCTGGTTTTGGTTTATACATCAGAAAGCTTCCGCAGAGCCAGCCCCACTTGCAGTGTTGTCAGCAGCTGGTCTTCAGGTGCTGCTTGACATTTCTCATTCTGCCTTTTCTTCTCCTGCCAGGTACTGGCACAGCACAGCCACTTATGCCCTTGCCACTGAAATCAGTGGTGGTCTCCAGTACCTACCCCCAGCCCATCATCATATATACCAGTGGCCCAAGGACCTGCTCAAACCCGACCTTGTCTTGCTACTCACTGTGAGTCCTGAGGAGAGAGTGCAGAGGATTGCAGGCCGGGGACTGGAGAAGACCAGAGAAGAAGCGGAACTTGAGGCGAACAAAGTATTTCGTCAAAAGTAAGTGTCCATGATGCAATGCTGAAGTAGGGTGTCATAGGCCAGGGTAGTAAGTCAGGATTGGCACTGGCTTTGGGAGTGGTGAGAAAATGATATTTTTCATATCCTGGAGGTCATGTCCTCTGAACGATTTTTGTTTCTTCAAATAGGATTACTACCAAAGGGTTCACACTACCCCACTTCCAAACCCACTGCCATAGAGTTGATTCCAACTCATAATATCTCTGTAGTTCTGAGATGGTAAGTCTTTATGGGACAATACGATTTTATCTTTCTCCCAAGGAGCACTTGATGGATTTGAACTGCCAGCCTTATGGTTAATAGCCTTATGTCTAACCCACAGTGCCAGAGAGTTACAGCCTTGTTATTTTTAAGTGACAGAATATTTTATTGGTTTCCAGTCTCTTTTAAGATCTTGTTGCCAGTTTTAGGTGTGTCAGGAACATTATAAAACCCATGTAAGACACTGAATGACCCTTCATCTCAGTTTTCCTGACTGCAAAACAATGTGCATCGTGTCATGTATATCAAACACATACTAACTTTCACCTCTTTAGGAAGTTGCTGGTGCTAAGTATTTTACTTATGCTGTTCTGTGTCTGACAGTATACAAGATGGAAGCACTGATAACTCAGTAATTGATCTAAATTATTCCCACCTGTTTTCCAGGGTGGAATTGTCCTATCAGCAGATGGAGAACCCCAGGTGTCACGTGGTCGATGCCAGCCCACGTAGAGAAAAGGTCCTCCAGACCGTTGTAAGCCTCATCAGAAACAACTGTGATCAATTGTAGTCACCCAGGAAGGTGACGTGTTTTACTAGATGAGACGTTCAGCACATCTAAACCCACAAATTGTTATACACCTTTTCAAGATTCCATGTGCAGAGGCATGTGTGGGGCAGAAAATTGGAAACCAGTTATTTTCATTTTACCTAAGCCATTGTACTCTTTTCTGACCGTTGGATGCACTGAGTTTGAGATAGGCCGTGTCCCTGTGACGCAGTGGCGGTGGCTGGTGGCAGTGGTTGTTTTTAAACTTTTTCTTGGAGCATGTTTGAAACTTCATCACTACCAAGTCCCCTGCAGGTTTATCTTATTTATAAAACATCGTGAGTGGGGGAAGATCTTCCAATTCAACCGGAAGTCCCTCTACTCGTTCTCGTTTCCACACCCAGGCAAGGTGATGACCTTCTGATGTGACCCATGTTACCTCTGTCGATTATGTTTGCACTTTGTTGTTGCAGGCAATGTAGAGCTGAATAAAGAAATGTCAAACAAAATCCTTCGCATTCAGACACATCAGCTTTTTTGAATTGTATTTTGTTTATTTCTATTCCTTCCCTTTCGTCTCTAAATATGTCTCTGAACTTAATGAATGTTTTGTACTGAATTGAATGTATTCAGCTTAAGTAATCCAGCAATATATTTATATTGATGTTTATCTTTTTCCTCAGAATAGAGATGATGATTCGCTAATTAAAATTGAAGCCAAGAAGCTAACCTCAATGTTTGTTTTGTGTTTTTAGTACACAGATTTAATTTTTCTTGATAAGTAAGTACAGTGGATCCTGTAATGTTCTCTATCAGTAAATTTTCACTTTCCTATCCATGTGCCTACATTTTTTTTTTAAGTAAGGGGTGAACCTTAATAGTTTCATGACCCTGGGTGAGTTATTTAGCATTGATAGGTTATGCTAGTTGAACTAAGAAGTGATAATAATTCCTTACTGGTCTTTAAGACTTGGCAGAGCAAGCTAATTTGTTAAGCTCCCTTACAGTTTTGGGATGCATAAACCTATAAACCCTTTTTATCCTGACAGCTATTTCTTTTTTTTAAATTTTCTTTTCTTTTTTTCTTTTTTAACATTTTATTAGGGGCTCATACAACTGTTATCCCAATCCATACCCACATCAATTGTGTAAAGCGCATTTGTACATCGTTTCTCAAAACATTTTCTCTCCATTTAAACCCCCGACATTAGGTCCTCATTTTTCCCCTCCCTCCCAGCTCCCCCCTCCCTCATGAGCCCTTGATAGTTTGTAAATGGGTATTTTGTCATATCTTGCCCTGTCCGACGTCTCCCTTCATCCACTTTTCGGTTGTCTGTCCCCCAGGGAGGAGGTCACACACAGTTCCATGTAATCGGTTCCCTCTTTCCTACCCATTCTCTCTTTACCCTCCCTGTTTTGCCACTCACACCACTGGTCCTATAGGGCTCATCCGTCCTGGATTCCCTGTATTTTCAGTTCCTATCTGTACCAGTGTACCTCCTCTGGTCTAGCCAGTCTTGCAAGATAGAATTCGAGTCATGGTAGTGGGAGCGGGGAGGAAACCTTTTAGGAACTAGAGGAAAGTTGTATTTCTCATCATTGTTACATCGCACCCTGACTGGCTCATCTCCTCCCCGAGACCCCTCTGCAAGGGGATCTCCAGTGGCCTACTAATGGGCTTTGGATCTCCACTCCGCACTCCCCCCATCATTCACTATGGTAAGATTTTTTGTTCTGATGACCTGACAGTTATTTCTAGAGAAGACTTACCCCAAATTAATTACATTTAAAACTTTGTCAGACTTATTTAGAATTTTAATTTATAAACTTTGGTGTTAATACCTTGCAAACTATTTCTCAACTGACTAGTTAATTCACACATATCTACTTATAAGTACATATGTAATTTGTTTCAATTGGAATTATTTTGAAAGTTGGTAAATATTGATCAGGTTCTTTAACATATAACATCCAGTTTCGTTGGCTTTTTTTATTCCATTTCTCCTTGAGAATGTTAACCCGTCTTTGCGTGGATAAATGAAAATGGCCTCACGAACCATTCATCACCCTCCTTATGCTCACTGCATAAGTATCACCTCAAAAGAGGAGACCTCAGATTGGTTTGGGTTCACTCCTTCAAGAGGGGGTACAAGGGAGAATACCATCTACTTGATGATACCACAACCCACCTGCCCTCCAGAGGAACGAGAGGAGAACCTTACTGGAAAATCAAGTTAAGACCAGGGGAGGGGAGCATCTGCATTTCAGAGGAGGCACTGATATTTCTTTTGGTGGGTCTGGTTGTTAAACGGGGAGGAGCAACCTCACATGGGAAGGGATGCTAAACACTAATCGTAGAGAACCTAAGGTAACCATAAACCCGATTTTATGTTCCTGAATAGACACTACAAATATGTTTCCACACAACCTTCTGTGAACCACACCATGGACTAAGAACCAGGTGACCTTAGATGCAGGGCTTACAGGCAACATAGCATCCCCCAATGGCCACACCAGAAGGACTCAATGTGGAAGCCTAACTGAATGTACTGAGCCCTGCCTCAAAACTACCTGTACCCTTGAACTTAAGACTGAATTATTATGGGAGAGGAAGCAAAGAATGGTGACCTCAAATGACAGTCATTAGACCTTGGGTGGGACCCCTGGCTTAGTGCCAACAAAAGGGGACACAGAACTACCATATATTTAATACCTCAATGCTCCCCTTGCATTAATATGACAGGTTTTAATCTCATATGCAAGGTTCTTCACTTGTAAGAATTGAAACAGGAAAATTTCCCTTAGCACCAATCCCCATGTTCAATGTAAACAGAGCTCAGTCAATTAAGAAATCAATCCGTACAAAGCAAACGATCATGGACTGTAGTTCACAGTTGGACTTTACCCACATAAACTCAGATGAACAGTATCTTAATATGTAATTTGAAAAATGATCCATGTTAGCAATGCAATTGCCTTATATCACAGAGGAATGATTGACAATGTTTTTTGTTGGTTTCTTTGGAGTTTTTTTTTGTTGTTGTTGTTGTTGGTTTGTTTATCTGCATTTTGTTTGGTTGGTTTTGTTTTTTGATGTTAGTCTTGTGGATTTTTGGTTTTGTCATATTATGATGGCCAGAGTAAACCCTTGTACAAGCGGATGTATTCTGGGCCCCCACTTAATCTTAGCCAATTTAAGAACATTTCTTAGACCTGCCTGGGACGGAGGGTGTTCCTGGATGGGCCGTGCGGGGAGGACTTGGTCGCTTATCCCCCAGGGTTCCTGCTCAGAGTAGGACTGGCCCGGGTGCGGAGGGTGAGGTGGCCTCGGCTCCTTTCCCTGGAAGAGCTGTGTGGGGTGAGGCGGGCACAACTTCTTTTGTCCCCACAGGACACCTTGTTGGAGTCCAGCCTGTCAGCTAAGCAGATCTACAACTAGTTTGCCAATTACCACCGGAGACAGAAAGCTCTCCTGTCCACTATATCGAGGAAGCCAAAAGAGTCTCCCACTACCTAATCTGAATGGAATCCAGGGCTTTTTAGTGGATTTCATTTTCTCCTCTGACCTCAACTTTGGGGTTTCTCCCTCACTC